TATTAACGCTGGGTTGTGAGCCGCTAATGGCTGGTATGAGAGGAGCAAGAAAGTAAAACTTTGCACATGCGAAAGAGAACGTCTCCGAACATCCAAATACTTATTTCAAATGCTAAATTGATTTTAGTTCACTCAAAATATTTTCTTATCTGCGAGACGAACGTTTCTCTGCAAAACTCAGTTCACGCGTGTGCGAAATGCCCCTTTGCGCGCTCAAAATTTGATCTTGCACACGCAGAATTGTGACTGAAATCTAATCCCATATATGAAATGCTGATAAGATTTGAGCCCATATTCATAAAGAATCTTAATGCAAAAAGTAGCTCCTAGTGACAAAATTCTAAGAAAATTCTTAGAAATGTGAGCGTTTACTCTTAAAATTAAAGAAAAAAATCCCAGTAAAGAAAAAAGTAATTCAGAAAGAATCTTAACACTTAAAAGAGGTCTTAAGGTCAAAATTGTTAGGAGTACAGATGAGGACTTTTAAGAGGCTTAAAGGGTTAGTTCACCCAAAAATGAAAATTCTGTCAGTATTTCCTCACCCTCATGTTGTACCAACCCCGTAAGACCTTTGTTCATCTTCGCAAAACACAAATTAAGGTATTTAAGATATTAAGATCGCTCCTGCATACAGTCCATAGGCTTCTTGATGGAATGACTTGCTGGCCTCGAAAAGTCATTAAAGACATCGTTAAAATAGTCCAAGTGACTACAGGGGCTCAATCTTAAGTTTATAAAACGACGAGAACACTTTTGTGCGCAAAAAAACAACAAAAATAACGACTTTATTTCAACTATTCGTTTATTTCTCCCTCTGCCTTGAGTCAGGTTACTAGTTTAATAGCGTAAGCTTCTGTTATTGTACGTCACGCGCATCACACACATGACCAGCGTCGGCCAATAGTGAGCCTACGTGTGACGTAGCTCTACGCAATCACACTACGTTAACTGACTTACAGGCTCATGGAGAAGGAAGTGAATAGTTGAAATAAAGTCGTTATTTTTGTTTGTTTTTGCGCACAAAAAGTATTCTCGTCATTTGATAAAGTTAAAATTGAGCCCCTGTAGTCACTTGGACTATTTTAACGATGTCTTTAATGACTTTTCGAGGACAGCAAGAGCCAGTCCCTCAAGAAGCCTATGGACTAGTATGCAGGAGCGATCTTAATATCTTAAATATCTTAATTTGTGTTCCGAAGATGAACGAAGGTCTTACGGGGTTGGAACAACATGAGGGTGAGTAAATACTGACAGAATTTTCATTTTTGGGTGAACTAACCCTTTAAGAGTTTCTTTAGCAGAGGAGAAAATGGCAGAGAGACGGAGAGGGAGAAGAAATGTGTTGCAAAGGATGACAGAGTGAGTTAATAAGACACTATAGATGAGATCGTGCAGGGATCATGTTTGTGACTGATCTTATTAGAGACACGCTAATATCTCAGACACAGCGCAATGCCAGAAATGAAAGTAATCACTACATTAATGTTGTAATATAGTAATTTGCCAATAGGTGTCCCTGTTGTATTAAGTGAGTCACCACAGTACTGTTATTCTTCTTCGCTGTTTTTTTTCTCTCTCGCTGGAGTTATACAATAAAAAAAGGCACGTGAACTTTCAACAATTAAGATATTTGGCAAATGGAAAATGCAATAAAGCAGCAGTGATTTGGGTCAGTCACAACCTTCTGTAAGCAGTGATCACACAAACAATTACAGCACTTTCAGAACCTCTTATTGTGTCACAGTTCATTTACTTTCCACTGGACATTCCCACCTTGCAGGCTCAAAAAATTGCATTTATGAATAGCAGGCTATAGCAGGCTTCCCTGGTGCGCACAAGCAGGGAAATGAACTGTTAATAATTAACAGCACTATAAGCTCCCACGTCTGCTTCTTTCTCCGTGCCGTGACACCCGGCCCAATTTTTTTCTTTAATGATGGTCTAGTGTTCATCCACTAACTGGACTAACAAGTAAACACTGTTCTTCTGTCCAGTTGGGCTTGCTTATCTTTCTCATTTTTTATTCCATGTTTGCTATATTAAAACCAACATTCAAACCACCACTTAAATAGACAGCAATCAGTGTAGCTAATTGAAAAGAGTGGAACATTTTTTTATCATTCTAAGCTAATCAAATACCTTAGGAAATTAACAACATGCTAAAAAAAGGATTTATCTATACATAATGTATATAATGTGTGTGTGTGTCTGTGTGAGTAAACTCTGTACTTAAAATTGCTATTTTTTCCTTCTTGGACAACCAAACAATCACAGTCTTCAAAAGAGTGTCATACATAGCAACGGGGTCAGCCCCGCCTACTCACTAGGATAAAAGTTTTTATCTTTTCCTTACTCAGAGTTGCTCTCAGATCAGTCCCAAATCACTCTTATGCTAAGACTCCTACGTAAAAGTTTTTAAGCTAAATTAAGAGTTTTCTGAGAGGATTCTTAGAATCTTTATGAATACGGGCCCTGATGTTTAATGAGCAAGAAGTGATGTAATGGTTAATCTGTATATGAGTTCATAATATTCATATTTCTTTGTTGATCATATTGGACGAGTGAAAGCTGGGACCGAGATGGGTCTTATGCATGTTGCCCACTTGGGTCCGGCCTAGTACCAAGTGCAATCCTACATGAAATTCATCTGGGCAATTAACATGGGGCCATTATGTAACCCGCGGACAATCCCAATCAAAGCCCATTTTGCAGCCCATTTCAAACCCACATGGGCCCCACATATAAATATCGGCTGGGTTAAAGCTGGGGCCGAGATGGGTCTTGTGCATGTTGCCCACTTGGGTCCGGCCTAGTACCAAGTGCAATCCAACATGAAATTTATCTGGGCAATTAACATGGGGCCATTATGTAACCCGCGGACAATCCTACATGGGGCCCATTTTTCAGCCCATTTCATACCCATATGGGCCCCACATACAAATTTGTTTAAATTGCATAATGTTATCTAAGCTTTTGAATTACAATGGAAATGTATGTTAAACAGGATAAAAATGCTACTATTCACTGTTGTTAAATTGAAAGCTGTGAATTTAATGTGTGCTGTGAACTAAATGTTGCCTGTTGCACATGCAGGTCAGGACTTTGCTGGAACTATGCTGGATCCTATGCTGGAACTGCGTTCGTTTCAGCGTTACAATCTAAGATGACGAGCCTTCCCAGCGAGATGAACGTTGATTGATGCGAGATTTGAGTTAATCCAAAACCTGTGGAATTGCAGGAAAGTTCTGATTGCTTGCTAGTTTTTTTCCTAAACTGGACTGAGCTTTATTTTGAAAAGACCGCTCGGAGTATTTTGTTCCCCTGTGCAAAAAGATCTTCTCTGGAACTGTTGAATCACTTTTACGTAATTCTAAGGAACTGTGGATTTTTTTAACTGAATCAACAAAACGAATCTTTTGAATCAAGTTCTTCTAAATGAATTTGAACTCAACTTTTTCCAACTCAACCTTTTGAACTGAACAGTTCAAACGAGTCTTTTGAACTGATCTATGTGAATTGTTTTCATTCTGAACTGTTGTTTTGATTTTGGTTTTATTTTTGAATGTGATTTAGTGAACTTACAATTTTACAAGTTTGAACATTTATCAATGTTTATGGGTTTGTATTTTATATTGAAAATGTAGTATTCTAGGAAACTGTATAGCAGAGGGTGCACCCAACTGACTGAACAAACAAAAGAGTCAAGTGAAATTGTTTACTTATTGTGAATTTACATTTATTCATTTAGCTGACGGACGCTTTTAACCAAAGCGACTTACAATTGCTATGTCAGAGGTTGCACGCCTCTGGAGGAACTAGGGGTCAAATGTCTTGCTCAGGGACACATTGGTGTCTCACAGTGGATTCGAACCCAGGTCTCTCACACCAAAGGCATGTGTCTTATCCACTGCGCCATCACCACCCCAATGTACATTCTAGTTATATTAATCATTTAGCTGAACTATTGATAATAAATTGTCCCTTATGAGTGGATTGAAGGAGATTCAACCCTATTACTATAATTATGGAAACAGGGGTTGCGAGTATTAGGGTTGCAAATTGATGCTAATGTTAGCTTTTTCTCATGAATAGAAGCTTGCAGTTTAGCTAGCTCTAACGGTCATCTTTAGTACAAACTTATGTAAAAAATAAATTAATTTCTTTAAATTAATTTGTCTTATTCTGATAATAAGTGTAACAGGGTTGCATTGTTTAGACTAGAGTGGCAAATTCAATCAAGGTTACAAGTTGTATAATAATATGAAAAATCGAAATCATTCCATTGTTCTACCCATTCTGGCAGCAAACTGCTTAGTGATGTCATTTCCTGTCACTCACTGTTTTTTTCATCTTCTGCCAGGATAAATATGTTTTGATAACAGGGTTGCACGTATGTTGTGGGACATAACTGTATTGCAACATTTCTATTATTTGAAATATTTCTATCGTTTTTTTTAAATTTTGAATTTATAAACAAAATCATAAAAAAGGGATATTTAAATGTATTTTAACAGTTGTATTTAACATTTAATTTGGTCACCTAGAAGGTGGGACAAGAGAAAAATGGCACTAGGTGGGATAGAGACTTTTTTTATTTTCAATAATATTTTTTGGGAAAAAAATGTCTATTTATATTTAGCCTCAGGACAATTGTTTTTTAATCAGTGACTACATTTTCTGTAGATTATTTGAAATTTCATAGGTGGGGCATGAAATGAATGACCCACATTATAATTTCTAATATAAAATCCCTGCCATTCTAATGTCTAATCGTGTCAGAGAGAAGAAATATCTAGAGTCTTTAGTGACTATTCAGATTTCCAAAGATCTACAGAGACGGATATCAAACTCATCCTTTTATATTTACTTTTGACTTTAGATATCCAAATCTTTTTATGGGGGTTAAAGTTTTTGTTAATTTCAGATTTATAGAAGCGTTTCATCTGATTTTATGAAAACATAATAACATGACATGATATTAAACAAATGACTGAACTTACCGTGATATATTATCCTTTCTTCTTTAACGTTCAGCGTATTTTCTGAACACAGTCAGAAAATGTGACGCAGCTAATACACAAGTTCGTTTCTCAATATGCGTTCTTGTCTGCACTTGTGTTCTTGTGAACTTGTGAAACGTCATCAGTCACTGCCCAAGTACTGTTCCAATTCAAAGTTCACATCTAGCCCAGAGCCATATATTGAGAGAGTTGCGACAGGCTTTGATGTCGCCGCAATGGCTGTCACATGGTTCATGGAAGCACTAATATTTCCAAAACAGACAACAGCGATTGCATTATTAAACGGTAAAATAAAACACACATCCAAGTACTTTTTAAGCTGTTATTGCATTTGGTTAATGTCAGTGTTGCATTTAGAGAGGCAGGGTGATAACTTAGATCAGTTTTAGGCAGTGGCGGCTGGTGAAAAATATTGTAGGGGGGGCTGAATAAGACGGGGGTCTGGGGGTCCCCCCCCAGAAAATTTTGAATTTAGTAGATGTGATTTCCTGCATTCTGGTGCATTTTAGGCCTTAGGCCATGCCCTTACCTATACCAATAAAATAACTTAAACCAGTCAATACCAATGGTCAAATAATACAATAATAATAATAACAGTTTGACAGTTAATGATAATGAACAAGTTGCATGTTTATTATGCTCTGTGTGCTGACAGAAAAAAGTGCAAACGCATAATATTGATAAATTATAATATAGGTAATACAAAAAATAATAGGTAATACAACAATCTAGTTTAATCAATCCCCAGCTGTAGACTACATATTTATTTTTGACAAATTGGATAATGGATAACAATCTGTTGATACTAGAGAAAGAGAGGGTGGGACAACATTCTCGAGGGTAACACCCAAGTATGAGAAGAAAGTTGATTTTAACTAGTATGAAACACAGAAATCTAACTCAGAACTTAAAAACATAAAAAAAACAAAGCAAACACACAGGTATTAATATTCCTATTCCTAAAACTATTTTAATATCAAATGTGTGTGAAACAGTGTTTATGTGTGTGTGAGTGAGTGAGTGAGTGAGTGACAGAGACAGACAGGTCAATTCCCACGACTAACTTTACATTATTTCCACTCGACGTCACTGGCGCTGCCATTCTGCTCTCATCTGAGGTAAAAAAATGTCCCGTGGTGCGCGTGCACGGTGCACTCCCCTAATCTGATACTGTGGGCGATATTTTCAGCGCCCCCAAACCATAAAATTTGACGACGCTGATTGGCGAAATATAAACTTTTTTGCATAGCAACCGGGGAACCATTGGCTTAAATTCCAGCACTGTGGGGCTGAGCGAACTGGCGCCCTGAGAAGACAGCCTATTGGCTATACTACTACACCAACATGATAAAAGTAACGAAAGTGAATGCAAATATCATTCTGGTGAGTTCAAAACACTTTTCAAAGTAAAACCATTATTAGCATATAATTAACACAGATTATTTTTCAAAATGATAAATTATAATATATATTAAAAAAACAGACAGACAGGTCGGAGGGAGGGCGGCGCCCCAGCGCCCTCTATGGGCGAGCCGCCCCTGGTTTTAGGCTATATTTTTGGAGGGAAAAGTCTTCATGTTCGCATTGGTAGTTGCACTGGCTTTAGCGGCTCTAACATAACTTGTCCATGTCAGTTGAAGTTGAAGCCTCGCGGGAGCTGCCATCTTGTAGCAGAACTTCACTTGAGTTAGCATTTCCATTGACTCCCATTCATTTTGGCGTCACTTTGACAGTGAATAACTTTACATGTGTGGCGTTTGAAGACCCCGTTTGCCCATTATTTATTTCTAAAGAAACATGACAATGTATAAACTGCTCCATTACCTTGTAGCTTATGTTATGGCCCCGTAGAAGCAGTTTTTTTGTAAAAGTAGTCTAACGATTGCGTCATAACCAAGCGACTCTCTGTCGCACAGGAGAGAAATTACCGTATGGACAGGAGGAGAAGCTCGCGGGCAATCGGGGGAAACGTGGAGGCAAAATGACAAAATAATTAATCAGAATCCCTAGCAAAAGTTTCTCCTGCTCCTAGCTCATGGACAGCTCCAATTCACACTCTCCGCCTCTACAAGTTTCAGAAGGGAATGATTCAGATTTCCATGCCACAGCCACTAGAAGACAGACGGGTTGCTCACGTCACATCTATGTCGTCAAGCTCTGTTTGAGTCGGTTTGAGTCTGCGCGTCAGGAACGGAAGTCCTAAAAAATCGCTAAAAATGGGCTTCACTTGTCTCAATTGAGTTCCAGTGAGATGGCTCTGTCCTCTTCTTATACTGTCTATGGATCTTGCTTATGGTAAATGGACTGCATTTATATAGCGCTTTCATAGACCTAATGGCCACCCAAGCACTTTACATATTGCCTCACATTCACCCATTCACACACACATTCATACACCGACGGCGGTTTCAGCCATGCAAGGCGCCATCCAGCTCGTCGGAAGCAGATGAGGTTAGGTGTCTTGGTCATGGAGACTTCAACACTTCAGGTGGAACCGAGGATTGAACCACCAACCTTTCGGTTAGTAGACAATCTACATGAACCACTGAGCCACTGCCAAAGTCTGATATCGTGGGATTCACGGAATTCACATGGGATGTTGCTAATAAACTGGATGTGATTTAAATTCTGTTGCTTTTATATGAAAATAAATATAATGAACAAGACACCCAAAGTACTTGTTATATAATTACATTCCAAATATGTGTTTTAATGTTTATATGTGTCAATCATTTTTTCTTTAAAGGAGCTGTATGTAAGCTTGTGGACAAAACTGGTACTGCAATCAGTTTCAAATTACTGTAGAGCAGTGTATCCCCTCCCCCCTGACTCGAGGTTGCCAGATAGGCTGCAGGATCCAGCATTTTTTTATCCCACACACGTTTGTATCTGCAATGTGGTAACTAGAGCCGAGCTGGCAACCTGAATGCTGCAACACTACTGACTTCGTGATTGGTAGATCGGTGGAGGGTGGAGCATCAGATCGAAACAGTTGAGGGCTGCAACTTCACTTTTTAAATGACAATATCCTGGCTGAACTACTGTTGTCAGTGATAAGTATTTGAAATGAACATGATTTGTTAATGTCTAGTGACATCAGGTCCATTTTATGATTATTTGAAATAAATTTCTTACAAACAGCTCCTTTAACACAGACGTGTTTTTATATATTGTTTTGAGAAAAATGACATTTCATAATAACCCATGGCACTGTCAGAGAGCTTACCCAGACAGCAAACTGACATTGAATCAACGTGGAAACAACGTCTCTCATGACATTGAAACAACGTTGATTTTGCTCATCGAATTAATGTTGAACCAACGTCAGACGTGGCATTCTTCAAAGCTAAATAAAAATCGAAAATTGGTTTGCTTTCATAACGTTAAAACAACGCGTTGATTTCAAGTTGATTTTCCGTTAGTTTTGAAAGAATGACGCGTCTGACGTTGACGCTGAAAACAGATAAAACAGACACCCCTCGTTGTGTTTATGCTTCTTTTTAAAATTATATTAAATAAACATAACTATATATAAAATTACATAAACGTATGTACGTTTCATTTCAAAGACGGGAGGACAGTAAATTTTGAAGACTCTGCCATAATCCCGTTTTTTTCGGTTTTCCTCTGCTTTAATCTCCACAACCGGAAATGGACGCGCATCCTTGCGTCAAATGCGGAACTTATGCGTGCATTAGCCCATTGTGTCATGAAATGTAATTTTAAGAGTGTGTCAGGCGATAATGTGGTTGTAAATCTCAAATCTGTGGTTTATTTATAAAGATAGTGTCTATTTGAAAAATGTATCTGACGTTTTCGGAGTTGTGACATTCAAGCCTTCACCGTCGCCCAGCGCTCATCAACCCCGACTGGAACAGCTTTTCCTCGGCTAGTGCTTCTGACGTTTGCTGCTGGCTCTGATGTCTCGTCTGGTGGATAAACTTGACGTATAATTCGTCTTGTGTAGTCTATCTTTGGTCTCATTAAAGTTTGTTCCATGGCAAAAAATCGTTTTGGCTGAGGGCAAAGTGAAGTTTCATAACTTTATTTAGGCTATTTAACTTTTAACTTTGTAGCCTATTAGAGCTTATGTTTAAATTTTTTGCCTTATTTCTCATTGTTCTATACCTTTTAGGCTAGAATAGATATTAATGATCATTAAAGCTGACATTTAACAAAAAGAGACAGGGTTGTGTAATTTTATTATATATATATATATATATATGGGTCAGTGACATATATAGCCTACCATAAAAAAGTGTTTTTTCAAAAATTTCAAATAACAGGCATAAAAATGGTTGACTCTTGTTCTACTAACTCTCATCTTTGTAGAAACATGTTGTTTCAAAATTTTCAATTGGAATCAGAATTTATGTGACAATTTGTTGTATTAGTGCGTACAATCGTCATATGGTGTGACATGAAAATAATTGTATATAAACTGAAAATGGATTATACCTTTCTTAAGTTACTCACTTTATCTAAGTAATTTATCATAACTAAACTGTGATCCATTATAGTTTTGTGAAAATTAATTAAATTTGTGTATTATTTTCTAAAACATTGCTCAATGTGAGACCTATGGCGTCGGTCTTTCAACATATTTTCTATTTATTGTGACAAACCTTGCTAGAAAATTATAAAAGTATTTGTGACTCTTGCTGATACTATTTTCTATGTATTCCATGAATATTTTCAGGTTTTATCATTAATAAAGGTATGTTATTTTCACAATTTGGAAAGTCACACCAAATGATATAGTGTCACACCATATGATAATGTCGCCATGTGTCAATGCATGTATTATCCTACTTATTGGTGAGTACTGATCACTCATATGGCAGGAAATATTAACCACTCGTAAATGCTGGAAGGTAATATTCAAATTTGGTCCCACTTTATATTAAGTGGCTTTAAGTACTATGTACTTACATCGAAAAATAAGTACAATGTACTTATTTTGTTCAGGTTGTATTGTAAAAAATTTTGTTGCTATTGAGGAGTGATATGGGTAGGGTTAGGGTTAGGTGTGGTTGTATAGGTCGGTTTAAGGGTGGGTTAAGGTGTAAGGGAAGGGTCAACTGTGTAATTACATTTATTAATTACAGCTGTAATTACATGCAGGTATTTTCAAAATATAAGTACAATGTAAAAGCATGTATGTACACAATAAGTCCATTGTATCAAATTATTAATTTCAATGTAAGTACATAGTACTTAAAGCCACTTAATATAAAGTGGAACCTCAAATTTTATTGATTTATTTGATATTTAACAATATTGATATAATATGATATTTATATTAATATTGTATTATTGTATGAACCATATGAATATACATTCATATGGTATATTCATATATATTCATATATATATATATATATATTCATATGGTATATACCATATATGGTATATATTTTTTTTTACATTATCTCTTCACTATGTGAACAATAAAATCAAATGTTATCAATCCTGCAGGACAGTATCCTACAGGACTCATGCAGCAATATACCCTGTCCTGTAGGATTTTCATTATCTTGCAGGATTTCTGCATGATCCCAGCACTGTCCTTCTGGATTTCTGTAAGGGTTTTATCTAACCATCCCATAATGATCACGATACGAATGTTATTGCGGTCGTACTTTTTGGTCGCGCTCGAGCCCCGTAAGCGAAAATCCAAAGTACAATGAGAATGTTTTTCTCTGTTCAGTCGCTTCAACTCTGACTGAAGTCCTGCAGAAGTGAACGAGAGTAAATCTGTTTATTCCTCAAGTCCTGCAGAAGTGAACGAGAGGAACGCGTTTATTCCTCCAGACGCGCGCAAAGCAGGGTAAGAGTTTCACAGAGACTTACAGTCATTCTACCGATGTAAACAAACACAGTTGTTGCGAACGAAAATGAAGATATTTCTGCATTAAGGAAATAGCACACTTCATTCGTTTTATCGTGAGATTAACTATGACAGTAATGGGGAGTTCACCCAAATATTAACCCGTTTGTGTGTGCGTGCGCGTCTCTCTCTCTCTCTCTCTCTCTCTCTCTCTCTCTCTCTCTCTCTCTCTCTCTCTCTCTCTCTCTCTCTCTCTCTCTCTCAATTCAATTCAATTCAAAGGGGCTTTATTGGCATGAAAGTTTTTCAAACAATGTTGCCAAAGCATATACAACATATACAAATACTCTATACACATACAGTATATATACATATACATACACACACATATATACACACACACACACACACACACACACACACATATACACACATATATACATACATACATATATATATATATATACACATACATGCACATATACATACATAAACACTTAACACAATATTTGGATATATTTGTGTGTGTGTGTGTGTGTCGATCACTCATTCACTGCCCCTCAGGTTGTGGCATGTTTGAATATATTGGGCAGCAAGATAAGTTTTGTCTCCTTCTCCCAGGAGAAAGTTTAACTTAGAAATGTCATCCAGGTCTATGAAATTTGGGATTATATAGTTAAATTTGTTAAAGTAAAGGTTCCTTGTGTCTTTGAACGCTTCACATTTTAGGAGAAAGTGCATCTCCGTCTCAACCTCACCTGTCAAACAGTGATCACACGTTCTGTTTTCTTTTGGTTGCCACAATTTTTTGTGTCTTCCTGTTTCAATTGCCAGTTTGTGATCACTGAGCCTGTACCTGGTTAGGATCTGTCTCTGCTTTCTATCTCTGACAGTAGAGAGATATTCTGCTAATTTATATTCTCTTTTTAGGGTCAGATAACATTCTAGTCTACTTTGGCTTTTAGTTTCTTCTTTCCAATGTTCCAGATAGGTTTCTTTGCATTGTGCTATGATTTGCTTGACTCTGATTGGTGTTTGGACGGCAGTGTTGTTCTGAGGCTGCTCAGACTGTCTCTGATGTGGGGCAGTTTGTCTTAGTACCAGTTGACATAGGGGACTCTTTTCTGGGCTCAGCTCCTGGGTTCGGAGGGCCTTGGAGTGAAGTGTGTTTTGGGGGCTGGATTTCAGGTGGTTAAAAAAGTTGAGTGTTCTCTTTTGGATGTTAATTATCAGGGGGTATCTGCCTAATTCTGCTCTGCATGCATTTGTTGGTGTGTTTCTGTGTATGTGTAGAATGTATCTGCAAAATTCTGCATGAAGAGATTCTGTTGGGTGTTTGTCCCAACGGGTATAGCTCTGATGACTGAGTGGACCCCATATTTCACTACCATATAGCGCAATGGGCTGGATGACACTGTCAAATATTTTAAGCCAGATTTTAATTGGAATTTGGAAGTTATAGAATTTTCTCTTAATTGCATGTATAGCTCTTCGAGCTTTTTCTTTTAGTTCATTCACTGCCATGTTGAAACTCCCTGATGCTGATATGGTTATACCAAGGTAGGTATAGCTCATGCTGTGTTCAATGACATCATTATTGATGGTGAATTGATGTTTGTTGATGTTCTCTCTCTCTCTCTCTCTCTCTCTCTCTGTGTGTGTGTGTGTGTGTGTGTGTGTGTGTGTAAGTGTGTGTCTCTCCCTGTTACCTCATACTTCTAAGCAACAGTTATGATTAAAGGAATAATAAAAGAGGACAAGAAATTACATTTTTACAAGTTGTACATCATTTAATAAACACATGTCACCTTTTTCAAGTTTTATCGCAATAATATCGTACCGTGGACTTTACACCGAGTGAGATTTTGATTCTGTTACATTCCTGTTATTTACAAGTCATAACTTACCCATATTTGAATATAATTTAAAGGTCCTATATGTAACTTATTTTATAAAATGAATCCTTTTTTATTGCCTGTGTTCAAGGGGTTGTAATCACACATTGCAATGATCCACTTTTCGGGTTTTGCTATCACCTCTGAAGGCCAATATTCATATTTATATGTGAAGTCTCTGGGTCAGATTTCCTGCGAAATCCATTAGATGTGACGTGCATGCGCGCTCCTGAGCCTCTCTATCCTTACAGTCAACCATGAGTCAACCACGACCAACGGCACATCAGCTAACGATATGGAGTCTGATAACCCCCAAAAACGTCCTGCCTCCAGCACAACACAGACTCCAACACAAACTCCACATAAATATATAAAAAAAAAAAAAAGCTCGTCAGGCAAAACGTGAATCTGATCGACTCCGGACGAACGCGGAAAATGCGGATCAACATAGTAAACACTAGTGAAATAGCAAGGTAAACTACATGAAACATGACATAAATACAAAAGAATATTCCAGGATAACAAAAAGTAGGTGCTTTAGGATGTAACTTATTTTATTTACTAGATCTACTGACTAACGTCACTCATCCACAACTATCATATTGTTTATACACATTTCCAGACACGTTCAGTACAGTAATGTCACTTCCTACGATCTTACTGATACACTGAAACTGTTCAGTTTAGTTCACTAACCGTTTTCGTTATCATATTATACATTCACCTATGTTGACATTGCTGATTGTGAAAGACACACGAATAGTTAGCGAAATGGCTTATGCTATATAACATCACGTCGGCTAAATGCAGTTTATTGTAACATTCTCATGGACGAGCACAGAGCATTAGTTCAACGTCAAGCTGATAAAATTAGGCTATTAAGTGGGAGTTTACATTAGTTTCCAGCATGTTGTGTGATGATTTCGCCGTTGCGTTGAAAGTCTCCGTGTGGCGTAGTACCCCAGAGTGCACTCTGGACGATGGGGCGGGGCGACACTTTTGGGCGGAGCGACACGTGTCGCCCCGCCCACCTTAACGTTTATTGGTTTATAATAAAGATGATCTTATTGGTGCAGAGAAGTGTGACGCTATTACAGATTATTGGTGCAGAGAAGTGTGACGCTTTGGGCCGGCTGGGAATGCGGAAGAACACAACAGACGAATAAACTTGTTGATTTTGCGGCCATTAAATGCGATTCCACAATATCCCATTGAAGTAGAAATACAAAGAGAATAGAAATAATGGTCTAATTCACAATCACTCCCTCAACAGCTTTAGATGGTCCGTTACCTCTGCATTACTCACTGTTTTTTTGTAAGTTAATGACATCTCGCTCTCTCTCTCTCTCTCTATAGATAGGTTGATAGATAGAGAGAGAGAGAGAGAGAGAGAGAGCAAACTGTAGCGGACATGTCACCAGTCTCACCTGATAGTAACCACGAGTTTCCGTAAGATCCTACGAACATTTTTTTTTTAAACTACATACGGCTGTTAAACTTCACTGATCATAGCTCCAAAAAGCCATGGTGATCACAAATTAACTATGGTAATTATAGTATTTGTGCGTTTACATAAATGTAATCAATAACTACTGTTGTACTATAATAAACTTATAAGGGAGTATCTATACATGCTCTTAAGAACACAACAAAACAAAGACTTTGTCACTTTTTCTTTATTATAGACTCCAAACTGCACTTATACATCAGCAGAATGTAATTTATGCAAACCTTAAAGAACCAAGGTACTTTACCATATGCACAATTAGTGAAACCTATGTTTTTGCCATAGCTTTTCAATAGAACACTATACAGGTGAAACTCGAAAAAAATTTATATCGTGCAAAAGTTATAATTTTGATGAACACCAAAATGCAAGCCCTCTGAAAAGTATATATAACTGAAAAGTATATATAATCATGCCATATGCATGTATAGTTATTTATACTAAATATATTAAGTTTCACCTTTTAATTTTTTTAATTACTGAACATGAACTTTTGCACAATATTCTAATTTTTCAAGTTTGACCTTTAAGTTTAACTTTTAGTTGCATCAATTACTACATCAAAACCAGTTCATCTCTCAATTCCCATCTACAAGTTTTGAGTTTTACAGAAATTCATTTCCTGCAGCAAAAAAACAGTCCTGCGAGCAAAATCCTGTACAAAGATCTTCGGAGTAAAAGCCCAGCAGTTCCCCTCGTCTTCCTCTTCCCCTGTACCCTGGTGGATAGGACTTGAAAAGCTCCAAGCATTCTGAGCATTCCCTGAAGCTGTAGATCCGGCGGAACTCATCACAGTAGTCCGGAAATTTTTTTTTCCAGTTGACCACACCTTAAAATGTAAAGACAAAATACAGAAAAGATATAAGTGTGGAGATTCAAGTTTAAATGTCACATAGCACAAATTTCAATCCAAGAAATGTGCATTGAACAGAAAAAAACATCTTACTGTTCAGCCAGACAAAGTGTGCTGCTTTCTGGAAAATTTCATTTGTGACCACATCCCTAAACCATCTGCATACCAGTGAAAGCATCAAATATGCAGAATCACCAGTTGCTATTATTTCATGGGGAAGCTGTTGAAACAAAAAACATTGTTATTTATACATGTATATAAATGTTGTTGAAAAAAATATAAACCTTGGTTCAGACAAACCTGATATATTGTTGTCATAACTGCATGCTCTGAATAAAATAATAAATAGATTAATATTCTCTTATAACGATAATATTAAAATAAATATCGCTCCAACACACATTAGCCGCTTTCCCCACTGTCGGGCCAGTGTGAGCCAGGGCTTTCAAGGGTCGGGCGGTGTTAATAGCCTTGGACCTGTAGCACCAAGCACAAAATCACACTGTGTTTCCACCGTTAGGACAGAAGCTCTGCAGCGCTTCACTAAAGCCCTCCCTTAACATGCCTGTCTTGAACAATGACAAATAACTCTATTGTTTCACCAACAAATGGAAGTTTTACCATAAAACTATTCAAAGAAATTGCTTAATGAATGTATGTGCACAATAAATGACCTGAATCTCTCCGAAGACATTGCCTTTTGTAAGGTTGAGTGCCAAGAAAAACAAATGACAAGAGGTAGGCATGTACATTGGTAGATGTAGTACATAAACTAAAGTTTAATGTAGGAACATGCAAACAGCTACATGCATTTGCAGAGTGAAGTTGTCCAGTATGAGAGCACACCACCACCTCCTGATCAGGGGCATGTCATCCTGAATTTTTTTTAAATAATAATAATAATAATAATCAACAATTATGCATGTCTGTTTATTTAACGTGAAATATGTAATGAGGTAATGACATAACTCTGTAAAATCAAATCAGAGCCCCAAAGCCATGTATAGAGTGTACTGTTACAATTCACAAAGTGCAAGAAAATGAGCAGGGTATAACTTACAATAATTAACTACAATACCAATTAAAATTTAACCTACCATCAGTATGTAACAACATGTTTAAAGTTCAGTCTTTACTACTGCACTTTAATGTGACTAATGTTTTAAGATCACTGTGCATACTAACTTTTATACAGTATATTATAGTAGGGTTGCAGCAGTATGACAGTTTCATGCTTAAAAGAGTTATATCTCACACATTTGATTATTTACAGTACTGTAATGTACTATTGCTCGATATATGAATCTTAAATCCCGAGATCAATGTTTTAGCCTATGCTATTTTCAGTAGTTGCCCAACTAAACACTATTTATTGCATCCCTTCCATCCACAGTTTACGGATGTAAAATGTGATGAGCTTTGTATCTAGTCAAAAATAAAGCAAAAAAGTCTCAAATTATGTTACTTTTATCACACAATTCAAACAGTAAATGCAGTTTTGAAAATCACTGTGGTGTGACAGCAGAGGTGGGCAGAATATCCAAAAGCTGTACTAAAGTAAAAGGACTTACAGAAATAATTAAGTAATAATATTTATTGTTATTGGAGTAGGAGTAAAAAATGATCCAATGGCAAACTATTTTTAAAAACATAATATATTTAAAAATGACTCTCACGTTTGATTGAGCAGGACCATATACCATTAAACCACGATAATTTCTGAAACTGCTTTTGTACTGTGAAAATCTCATACCACTGCAACCCTAAGAGGTACAAGTTTACAAGTCGGTTACCTGTAGAACTCTTGACATTTCCACACTTAAGTTCAGATTCAGGTGTAACTGCTGGCTTGTTCCTATTATCCATTTGGTTTTTGGTCTTCGTGTTTGGAAGAGATCCTTATAAAGCAATAAAGATATTACCAGATAGAACAGATTACTCTACATGGAGAGGATTATGCCAAACAAATATGTGATACTCTGTTTTTGTCAAGAAGTCTAACCTCTGTTTGAAGAAGCGGAAGTTGTCGATGTGGGATCTTGTCTTTTTGCTATATGACAAAACATCTCCACTTTCAATGCAGGGTTCTCTCTACTGCAGGATTTAGCTCCAAACCTCTGTGCTACCGAGCTGCAGGTGCTTGCTCGTGCTGTACGCTCAGACCCACTACACAATCAACAATTATTCATAAAAAAAATGAGAAATTATTAATTCATTCAAACTTTAACAATAAAGTAATTTATTGCTCTCGATTTAAAACAAACATAATTAACATAAATAAACATAGCTTTAAAAAAAAACTAAACATATTGCTATTGTATAACAGAGCTCTCAAAGTTCTTCAAGATTCTTTATTCATGACATTCTTTCAGAAGGAAACTATTCCAGATTTGATTCACGAACATCATGGTACATTTTTAAATATGTTTATATAAAACTACACAACCATTTTTACTCACCATTTGGAATCGCAATCAACGTGGAGTGTCGTTCGTTCGTTAATGCTGCCACCGTTGCCTTTTATCGCAAACTGCCCCCTAGGGGGTCGGAGGAAAATGGCAAAGGCGGGAACAGGAAAATAGGGGCAGGGCGACACGTGTCGCTCCACCCAAAAGTGTCGCCCCACCCCGTCGTCCAGAGTGCACTCTGGGGTTACTCCGTGTGGCCGGTAGTGAGCGGTCTTGAGATCGAGCGCTCTTGTTGCATTCTGAAACATCACCACTAGAGGCCGCTAAAAACCGCATAGAGCGCCTTTAAAAATATTTTGGTACGAATTAACGTCATATAAATCCAGTATTTATGTGTAGAGGTCTCTTCTGAAACGATACAGCATGCAATAGGCGTCGGAAATACAATAGTGTTATTGAATGGATTATATCTCGGCTGAAGCTTCGAAAACGAGCCAAGACTGTTCACTTTACAATCACTAATGTTATCGCTCTGTCAGTTTATCAAAACAGTTCAATGAAGCTGCCAACAATGCACAATAAACCCCTTAGGCTACGTCTACATTAATCCGGATACATTTAAAAATGCTCTCTGTCCACATTTTCCAAAAGTTTCTCCTTCACACTGAACCGTAAGTGATGGGTCAGTCATGAACGATTTTTTCATTGTAAACGAATATGGCTGGGGAACACCGAGTTGTCTCAGAGAGTGATTCGTTCATGTTGTGTTGACCACACATTTGCAACACTAGACAGGTTCTGTACAGGAAACGGACTGAGATGATGCAAACAGAAAAATAAATGATAAAGTTATTGTGTAATTCCTCTGGCAGGTGAATTTTCTCTCATCTTTGCAGGACTGAGTGTGCAAAGTAACTTTTTTAGCAACAGTGTAAAAGTGAACAGCACAAAAGAAGCACAGTATCGATATAAACATGAATACATCACAAGGCCTTATACCGAGTTCACACTGCATGATTTTAGCCTTGATTTTCACTCGCTAATGTTTTATTAAGAAAGTTTGAGAGAAGAACTTTCCGGTTTTTTTTTTTTATTGGCCCGCCACCACCCTCCCTCTTCGGAGGACAAATTAGATACAATACAATATACAATACAAATTGTTTATTTACAATGCATAACCATTCAACCTGTTTAGTGAGACTCTAGGTACATAAGTGGAGTGGGGATTATGGCACGTTCAGATGATTAACCTAACTGTCATGGGAGGAGCTCAATATAAACTCAATTAAAGGGCACCTATTATGCCCCTTTTTACAAGATATGTTGGTCTCAGGTGTCCCCAGAATGTATTTGTGAAGTTTCAGCTCAAAATACCCCACAGCTAATTTATTATAACCATTTGAAAATGTCATTTTGGGGCCTGCTTAAAAATGAGCTGTTATGGGGGTATACGACCTTAAATGCAAATGAGCTGCATATTCCCGCCCTGCCTTTGGATGAGGGCGTAACTTGATACCTATGGCAGTCGGTACTGAGAGAGTGAGAGAAACCGCTGTTTTGAATGTCATTCAGCGTACGTTTGAATCGGAATATATAAATAGCACGAAGAGACTCCGGCAGAATAAACGCAAATGAGAATGGACCAGTACGTCTCGGTATGGTTATTTGATACATTTATGTACTTTAGAGTTGTAATCGCATCCGGATGTGCAACACACACACACAGACACACACAAACACTGAAGCTGGCGCAATATTTTGTAACTACATACACATTCTGTGATAAAGTTTGCTACGTACGTACAAGCGAAATTACATTTATGCGAGGGACCTGTTGCGTCATGTTTACTTGTCATACGGGTGCTTCTGTGGCAAACGTGAGAAGATGGCTAACTTACAGAACAACAACATATATGCAGTTTTTAATACAATATTTATCTTTATAAACGTGTGGTTACACACTATACAAACAAGCTTTAAATTATATAGCCTACACAGACATCCTACGACGACAACAACTTTAGATGCATTTGTTGTTGAATTGGCTGACATTGACTGAAAAGACTATTTGCTCAAAAATCATAAAACACACTTACTGTTACTGGATGTGACGGTGGATCGCAAACAGTAGATGACGATTCACAGTTGAGGATGAACTTTTAAGCCACAACAACAGGATTAACCCACGAGAGAACGTTTACGTTTCCAAGAGATATTACCGGCTGTCGTTGAAACAGTGGAGGATGTACAAATCACCGAGGGCGGGGTCTATGCCACAACCACACTGTCAATCAAACCCCTGTCTCACTTTCTACGTCACAAAGAGCTGAATCTTAGAACAGCTCGTTCTGACACAGTGAATATGATTTATTGAGATTGTAAAAAAACCACTGGGTGGATTTTTATCATTCTAGGGTGGTTTTGCTCACACACTGCCAACACACATTTATGTTCAAACACCATGTAAAAGTGAATTTTCCATAATGGTGCCCTTTAACATCAGGAGGTGTATAAAGCAGATCTGATAACGAATTCTTTCTCTTCCCTGATCCTCTGCCGCAATCTGCCACCACTAGGTCTCCCCTCGCCTCCACCAGCATAGGGCTGGGCAGAGTTAAAAGAATTTTGATACCGATACCTTGACATCAATACTAAAACACTGATACATCGATACCGGTTCCTGAACGATACTTTTTTTTGATAATTTTATGAAAATAAACAAATTAAATCCGTTTTAACAACATTACATTAATTGTAAACATTGTTTATTTTTTCAGCTTGTTGACTTTTTTTACACTCATATAAAAAAGCACCAACGCTAAAGTTTTCAATGAATTGTAATCATTTAACAAAATGTATTATTTACTTCAATGAACTTGCTGTTTCTGCCTTTACCTAATGCATTGTTTAACAATGAAACAATGAAAATTGAATCTCAACTTTACCATGCTCATCCTTACAATGCGGTGCAACCTTTCTTGCGCTGCACTTTATAGCACAGTGCCTGTCGACGTTTGCTTTCTCTCAACTTCCCGAACTCTACCAGTCTCTAACCCTTTCCCGTATCTGTGGTCTCCAGCTCTAGCAGAAAACCCTAAGCTGCGTCCAAATACTTCCCTACTATATAGTATGCGAAAAACAGTATTTGAACAGAGTAGTATGTCTGAAATCATAGAATTCGAAAAACAGTAGGCGAAAAGTACCCGGATGACCTACTACTTCTGGCGAGATTCTGAAGTGTGCATACGATGGACACTTTACTATCCCATGATGCCACGGGAGAGGAGTTGTTGTCGTTTTATTAGGGACTTTAAGCAACAGCCTCTGGTGGAACGGCAACGGCATTCTGGCGTTCTATTGCGCATGCGCAACATTAACTGCTACTTCTTGACGTTCTACTGTAACCGTCTACTACGGGAGAACAGTTGATTTGCCGTAGTCGTTACTACGTGACAGATTAAGACAGTTAATGTTATGTTTTAGGTTATGTGGCATTGAAATCGTTTCTGTATATCATTAAGTGCTAAAATCAACCCTTCTCTTTCTTTTTAAAACCACTTTCTTTTTGTATTTTGTCTGATGATTAAATTATTCCCTATGCCGTCCTCTTTACTGTTGCTTAGTGATTTTTGCGCTCTTTAACTACGGCAGTTAACCGTTTACTTCCGGCTGCCGTCGCCGTTCTATCAGCAGCTGTTGCTTAAAGTCCCTATTTGAAAATGGCGGAGACGCGGCTGTAACATCAGGAGATAAACACAGACAGACATGCGTATCTCTATTGATTCATTTATGTTTATTTATCGATGGTAATATCACAAGCAAATAAATGGCCAAAAATCAACATCTGTCATTGTTCATGGGGTTGTGTCTGTATTTTATTAGGTAAAACTTATTAGGTAAATAAATGTAATTTGAGAAATTCCACAAAAGGCGTGATCTGCGAGCAGCTGACCGACGCCTCCTCTTGATTGTCGGCTCGGATGACGTAAAAACGCAGATGAAAACAGAAGCAGAACTAATAACAGCGCGAAGTTCGTGCAGTCATTGGAATGGGATCTTTAAAGTTTCTCACTGTTGCGATAGCGTATGTCACACAACAACAACATATGGCGCAAGTAGTACGTCCGGACTCATTCATACTACCCGTATTCATACTATATAGAATGTACTTTTTTAACGGTCGTGAAGTACGTTCTTTTTTTAAATATAGTACCTACTCACATAGTATGTGATTTTGGACGCAGACCCTAGTCTGAGGATGCCTCTGCAAGTGCCCGCAGGCCTATACGTCACTGCTGTCTTTTTCCAAAACTGCTAACCCTGTCCCTCATCTGTGGCCGACAGCACCAAATGCAGACCCTAGTGTAAGGATGCCTTTCTAGCGGTGCAAGTTCAGACGTCTGTCCTTAACCCTCCATCCTATCCATGTACGTCAACTCTAAGAGCAACACCGTCAGATGCTACGGGCCCTGTCGGTTGTAGGTCTGAAATCTTGCACGCCTGTCCGGCCTGTGGCAGAGCCCAACCGTCCGATGCTTGTAGCCGTAGGCTCCTGTCGAATCGGATGATTGTGGTCAGGCAGTTTAATTAATTGCACACTTTTCGATTGCCCGATGGAGCTCGTTCGTCTGACGGTCCTGGCAGAAGTTGAGTGGGTCCTATCGGTCGGGAGGTTGGAGTCTTGGCCGCTGGAAGGGCTTTCCCGTTGATGCTGTGAGTTGCAGGCTCTTGTCAGTTAATGCACGCGGCCTGTCGGTTAGGATGACAGAGTCTCGAATGCTGACGGGATTCGCTCTTCCGATGCCGTTCACCTCCGTCGAATGCCAAGCGGACCCCCCCTGTCCAACATGGCACCATGACTTTTGCATAAACATACACACCACTTTCAAGTCAAGTGGCTTGGTATGTCTACGACATTAATGTCAGAATGATTCCACGTATATGTACACACCGTTAAATGTCCGAGTGAAACGAAGCAAAATGTAGATCTACATCTGGGGAGTGATTTTTTTTTCCTAGGATGGTAGGGGAAGACTCATAAATGGTATTAACCCCAGTGACATGTAGGTTTAGGGACGGAGTTGGGGTAGGTCATACAGTAATAACGTTAAGTCAACGGCGTTCATAAACACGCTTAAAAGCGATTATGCATGTTGATAGCACACCAAAAATGGCAATACGAATTGGCGTGTCATACATACGCCATTTCATGAGATCAGTCTGTCCTGTCAGGTGATTAAATCTTGAAAAGAACAGTGGCCTGACTACTGTGAAAATCGTACAGTGGGAACTTGTATTACTTACGCCT